ACGGCGCCGGCGGTCAGTGGGGCTCAGCCCATCCTCACCAAGCTGGAGCCGCAGAGTGAGTGGGGCTGGGAGGGGGGCAGCACCCCGTGGGGTTTGGGGTGCCCCCCAAACTGGCCTTAGCAGAGCTCTTGCAAGGCAGCGGGGTGGGAATAATCTGGTTTCGGGTCTCCAGTTTCCACCACCAACGAATGCGCCTGCAAAGGGCTGGAGGAGATGAAGGAGAAGGTGGGCGAGGGCAGCACCCCGTGGGCTTTGGGGTACCCGAAAACCGCCCTTAGCAGAGATCTTACAGGGCAGCAGGAAAGGAAAAAGCTCTTTTCTCCTCTCCAGTTTCCACCACCACCACCAAATAGAGCTGTAGAGGGCCGGAGGAGAAGCTGGGGAAGGGGGGCAGCACCCACAGGGTTTGGGGTACCCCAACATCTGGCCTTAGCAAAGATCTTGCAAGCCACCAGGATATTAAGAACCATCTGGTTTTATGTCTCTAGTTTCCACCGCCAACGAGTACGCCTGCAAAGGACTGGACAAGCTGGAGGAGAAGCTGCCCATCCTGCAGCAGCCCACGGAGAAGGTAGTGGGGTGGGGTGGAGTGTGGGGGGGCAAACACGCTCGAATTTCCCCCCCAGTGCTGCCTAACAGAGGGTTTTCCACCCCCCACCCCCAACCAGCTCATCTCGGACACCAAGCAGCTGGTGACATCCACGGTGACGGGGGCCAAGGATGTCCTGACCAGCACCGTGGCTGGGGCCAAGGACGTGGTGACCAGCCGGGTGACGGGTGTGATGGACATGACCAAAGGGGCCGTGCAGGGCAGCATGGAGCTGACCAAGTCAGCGGTGAGCAGCGGTGTCAGCACCGTCATGGGCTCCACCGTGGGCCAGATGGTGATGAGCGGGATGGGCTCTGTGCTGGAGAAGTCGGAGGAGCTGGTGGACCATTACCTGCCCATGACAGACGAGGAGCTGGGTAAGGAGCTGATCGCAACCCCCTGGAGATGTGTCGTGGGCCGGTGGTCCACCTGGAGAGGGGTGGGTAGAGCCTGGGCAGGGCGATGCTGGCTGTATATGGGGTTGGTGGTGTTCAGCAGCTCCTCTCCCACAGCCACGCTGGCCACGGCCGTGGAGGGCTTTGAAACAGAGCAGCAGAAGCAGCAGCAAAGCTACTTCGTGCGTTTGGGCTCCCTCTCGACCAAGCTGCGGCACCGAGCCCTCCAACACTCGCTGGGTAAGCTGCAGAACGCCCGCCGCAGCAGCCAGGACGTGCTGGCCCAGCTCCAATGCACCCTCGACCTGGTAGGACCCATCCCCACGTCCCTTTATGCCACCCTGGGGCTGCAACGGGCCACCCACGCCGGGTTCTGCTTCTCCTCCCCAGGTGGAACACCTCAAGCAGGGCATGGACCAGAAGCTGCAGGGAGGGCAGGAGAAGCTGCAGCAGAAGTGGCTGGAGTGGAGCAAGAAGCAACCGGGCGGTGGCAAGGACCTGGTGCCACCAGAGGTAGTTGGAGGGCAGGGGGTCCCCGGGGCCACCACGTGTCCCTCCAACCCCTCACCAC